TCATGCGGAGGCCCTTCAAAATGCTGACTATAAAACATATCCTCGCGCAAATTCGCCCAGGGGATTGGTTTATCACTATGGATCTGAAAGATGCTTACTTTCACATTCAGATACACCCTCGTCACAGGCCATTCTTGAGATTCGCCTTCGAGGGGCAGGCTTATCAATACACAGTTCTGCCATTTGGTCTGTCTTTGGCACCCCGCACATTTACGAAGTGTGTAAATGCAGCGCTCTCTCCTCTGAGACAGAGAGGGGTGCGCGTGCTGAATTATCTCGACGACTGGCTTGTGCTGGAGCAGTCGAGAGTCGAGCTTCTAGCTCACAAGGATTTGATTCTCAGCCATTTAAAATGTCTGGGTTTCACAATCAATGTTTAAAAGAGCAAACTGTCCCCCGGCCAGAGTGCGATCTTTCTGGGCAAAGTTCAAGACTCGGTGAGGATGAAAGCGCGGCTCGCACTGAGCGCGCTTTCGCGAGCGCGCGCCCGTGAAGAAATTTCAGAAACTGCTGGGTCTTATGGCAGCAGCATTGCCAGTACTCCGCATGGGATTACTGCGCATGCGCCGGCTGCAGCACTGGCTGAAACGCCATGTGCCAGCCCATGCATGGCAGTCAGGCAGCCTGCGCATCAAGGTGAAACACGATTGTTTAAAGACCCTGATTCCCTGGCGGGCTCAGGACTGGTACCAAGAGGGTGTGACAATGGGGACCATTTCCAGAAGGAAAGTGGTTTTTACAGATGCGTCCAACCTGGGTTGGGGAGCGCTATACGAGGGCACGCCTGCATCCGGCCTCTGGTCGAGCACGGAGCAGAGCTTGCACATCAACTGTCTGGAAATGAAAGCAGTTGGTTTGGCCCTGAAAACATTCCTGTCAAACCTCAGGGGTCACCACGTAATAGTCCGCACGGACAACATGTCAGTAGTAGTGGCCTACATAAATCGCCAGGGGGGAGTCAGGTCAAGCGACCTGCATGCTATGGCGAGCGATCTCCTTTTATGGGCACAGACCAATCTTAGCCCATTGAGAGCTGCGCATATCCCGGGCGCCCAGAATTTGGGTGCGGATATGCTCTCACGAGGCAACACTCCCCTCAGTGAGTGGTCTCTGAACTCACAGACGGTCAGTCTGATATGGGAGGTGTTTGGCAGAGCCGAAATAGACCTGTTCACCTCGGAAGCCAATAGACACTGCGAGATATTCTTCTCGAAGAACAGGGACGCGTTGGCCCACACCTGGCCCAACCGCCCCCTGTACGCTTTCCCCCCCGTCTTGATGATTCCACAAGTCATCAAAAGGATCAGAGAGAGTGAGTGCCCAGTCCTTCTGGTGGCTCCTCTCTGGGAATCCAGACCGTGGTTTCCAGAGCTGGTCCAGTTATCAAACACAGCTCCATGGCCTATCCCTGTGAGGAAAGACCTCCTGACACAAGCGAAGGGAACGTTGTGGCATCCGCGGCCCGATCTTTGGGCCCTCCACATGTGGCCCCTAAACGGGTATCCGGGCACCTTCCTGTGAAGGTGTTGAACACTATGGGCCCTATCTTGCACCCGACGCAAATGACTTTGTACACTGACGCATGTATCATTCCTATTTTGCACCCGCGCAAAGCGGACTTTTCCCTCCACAGACACACGTCGGTTAACTAAGAAATACACTTGGGCTCCCCGGGGCGGTTCAGCGCAAAGAGGAGGCGTGTTCCGGCGCAAACTTTCCCTCATGCTATTTTGCTGTTCTATAAAACAATTGCGCCACTGACCAGAAAAAAAGTAGTCTAAAGTCAGTAGCGCGTTGCACGTTGTTCTTTATGCTATTTTAAGGGCGCATGCTTGACCATAATCAATGTAGCGTGTGCACAACGCGCATACACTTTGATTCTCTCATCTAAGCAGCAGTTTTCATTTTTGCAAATCATACATTATTACGATAGATAGATAGATAGATAGATAGATAGATAGATAGATAGATAGATAGATAGATAGATAGATAGATAGATAGATAGATAGATATAAATCCGCCGTTATAATAGTAATCCGCTTTAGAACAAGCGCGCCTGCTCTTAAAGGGAATGTGAGATGGTGCTCTGATTGGTTTATTTCACGTTACGCCCAAACCACACCTATGAATAATGAAGCTACTTCAGACCAACCCCTTTTAGATTTGCGCCTGGCGCAAGAGGCATTTATCCCTCCGGGAAAATAGCAACAGCGCCGGGATCTGCCCACAAAGTTACTTGCGCTTTGCGCTTTGACACTTGCGTTTCAGATCGTTAAAATAGGGCCCGATATCTGAAGCTAGGGCCCCGTCGACTCGGCGCCTCTATGCTTCGAAATGGGCGTTTTTTTTCCAGCTGGTGCTCAAAAAACCATGCAGACCCAGAGTCATGTGAGATATCAGTGGTTCTTACATTCCTACAGGAGCTGTTGGACGAGGGCCGTGGCCCGTCCACGCTCGAAGTGTATGTGGCAGCCATTGCAGCACGTCATGTCCTGGTGGCTGGCCAATTGCTGGGAAGAAACGACCTGGTCGTGAGATTTCTGAAGGGTGCTAGGAGGATTAACTCCTCCAGACCTCCCTCTGTGCCACCATGGGACCTTTCCACGGTCCTGGGGGCTTTGAAGGGTCCACCCTTTGAACCGCTCCAGTCGGTTGATCTCAAACCTCTCTCGCTGAAGACCGCTCTTCTGTTAGCATTGGCATCTATCAAGCGAGTGGGTGATTTGCAGGCTCTCTCTGTGAGTCCAGCATGTCTGGAGTTTGCTCAGGATTACTCTAGGGTCATCCTCAAGTCCAGGCATGGGTATGTGCCCAAAGTGCTCTCAACACCGTTCAGAGCACAGGTGGTGACATTATTGACTCTTCCCCCTTCTACTGAGGATGGGGAGGTTAATCTTCTCTGCCCTGTTAGGGCGCTGAGAATTTATCTGGAGCGTTCTGCGTCGTTTAGACAATCAGAACAGCTTTTTGTTTGCTTTGGTGGTCTATCCAAAGGGGGTCCAGTCACTAAACAAAGACTGTCTAAGTGGATAGTGGATGCTATTGTTATGGCTTATACCTCAGTGGGTCAGGTTTGCCATATAGGTATCAGGGCCCATTCGACCAGAGGCATGGCCTCGTCGTGGGCTTGGTCATTTGGCTGTTCCATTCAGGACATTTGTGATGCGGCAGGTTGGTCCTCGCCTTCCACATTTATGAAATTCTATAACATGGAGGTGCCTTCCCTACAGGCGAAGGTGCTTTCAGTATGATTAGTGCCTGACGGTGTCCGGTCCTGTCTTAATGTTACTGTGCACAATCACATTCACATATATACATAAGACCCGCTTTGGCTGGTTATATTTTCATGTACATTTAAACCCGCTTTGGCCGGTTGTATTGCCATGTACTATTTACCCCGATGGAGTCTGGGTTTATTAGTGTGGTATGGTAGTAGTTACTGACTCAGGTATATTATGCGGACCTGACGGTGTCTGGTCCGATGTATACGTGTTAGTATTACGGCTTGTTCTGTTTGCTCAGGGCTCTGAGTTGCAGTGGCAACCAGTTATTCAGTGCGGCATTTTGCATAGTGTTCCCACTGCGTATAGCTACGAAATACGAAGTGACCGTTCGAAAGGGAACTACTTGGTTACTCACATAACCTCAGTTCCCTGAGTTAGGGAACGAAGTATTGCGTAGCCGGCCGCACTGCATTAAACTGGCTAGTTGTCGCTTCAGTCATATAAACCTGCTATAATGGCGAATTCAGGGACTAACATAGGCTGAAGCCACGCCCCTTGACTGGCTCTGACGTGTAATGACGTAGAGTGGTCTCATTGGTCACACGTCAAAGGCGCCCGCACCATTGTATGTGCAGTTGCTGCAGCACAGCCTATGAGCGAGCCAGGCGCTCTGTGGGCGAGCTCTGCAGCTGCAAATGCGTTTTACATAAAGGTTTCAGTAAATCAGGAAAAAGGAGTTTTCCCACTGCGTATAGCTACGCAATACTTCGTTCCCTAACTCAGGGAACTGAGGTTACGTGAGTAACCAAGTAGCTTTTTTATGCAGCTCATTAAGTCATTTATTATGTCAGACATTAAATTACAAATAATGTCTGCTGTGATGACAGGGTCAATTTCAAGTTTTTTTTATTGAAATACATTCTTGTATCTCACCTTAATATGCAGAGAACTATAATAAGTAAGTCATTCGGAGTTGTTGATTTTGTCTAAAAGTGTACACAATAAGCTCTGTACAGCTAAGAAACCAATCTGTTTGAGCATCACAACCAGACCAACAACAGCAACACTGACTCAACCAATGGTGCGAGTTTGGGGCGGGACTATTTGTTTGACTGACTAATGGCAAAGGCTGCATATACCAAGATGTTTCACTTACATTACTATGAATGGGAAAAAATGCACCATGCGATATTGCAGAATATGTCTCGCCTCCTAAATAAGAGAGCCAATGAGTAAAGTCATTGCGCCACTGCAGCTGCTGTTAAAAACTCCAGTTCTCATTGAAACAGTCAGCGTCCTGACATTCATGCAATGCATTGACTGAACCAACTTGGAAAATACACCATTTTAAATGTTATTTGACCGAAAGAAACATTTATTGGTTAGTTCAAGTCATTTTGGTGCTGGATTTGAAATATTTAAATGTGAAATCGGCAAGCAGTTGTTGAGATTTCAGTATTTCCCCGTTCAAGTAGATAAGAGTTGGTCTTGCCTGCCTAAAATAGCTGCCTGGAGATGTTTCAAATATGGCCGCCAATTGACTTTCAAGTGACAGTGTTCAGGAACCTGTTTGAACCATTATTGTCGCAATTTTTGAGTCATTATTTTTTACAATTGTGTTTGTTGATGCTACAGGCGCAGAAATCACACACTTTAGCTTTATTTGGCTTTTAGAATATGTTTCAATTCTTCTTATGATTCAACAAACATTCCTAAGAAACCAAATTTTTGGCACTCTAATCATATATACATTCCTCTCTTTTCCTCTGTCTGCAGGAACATCTCCGGCCCAGGTAATGACCTACATCAGGATTCATTTTACAATATGCAAGCCTCACAATCCTCAAAATCTTGGAGCAGCCACTTAGACCACAGGTGCACTAGGAGCCTCAGGTCGGGCGGCCCTAGACAAAGTCCTCCTGCTCCCTACCGACCCTGCTCTATCCCAATCATCCCCTCCGTCCACTCCTACCAGGATGAGGCCTCCTGTATGCAAACCGTCCCTACTGATGGAAGCAGCCGTTCTAGTCCTCTGGAAAGCAAAGCAGATGCTCCAGCTGTCAATCAACAGTCCAAAGTAACGGTCTCCAACCGAGCGGCTGTTAGACGGGAGGAAGTGGCCTCACTACTTGATGAGGCTCAGGAACAGCTCAGAGCGCTAGCACATGCCCAGAGGAAACAGGAGGACATCAGTAGCTTCGTTCCTCAGGGGGCCAAAGAGACTGTGTGCATCCTTTTAGCAAATGGGGGCGGACAAGGGGGAGTGGCCTCTTTTGGGCCCACGGAGACTCACTTAGTGACCCCGAAAGACACACACAAAGATGCCACAAAGCCTGGTCAATGAGAAGGGGTTGACAGGACTAACCACAAACGTCCCATGTGTCTTGGGGCTTCAGAACGCTCTGCCAAAATACCACTGGAACCTACCGTTGGATTTCTGAGGACCTGCTGTGGGTAGAAGCGTGGGAGAGTGGCAGTCTAGAACATGTGAAAAGATAATTTATTTATATGCATTTATTTATGGAGAAACTTCTACTTAGAAAAAAGAAACCAAATAGTCTGTCATCTCCATGGTGTTTTTAACTGTATAAAATATACATAAATATATATAAATGGATATAAATATATGAATTCAAACTGGTGACCAAGTACAAAAAAAAGGAATATGGGAATGAGAAACTTTCTTTTGTAATGTATCAGCTCCACATCCTTAAAGACTTGATGCTCAGTGGTTTAAAAAAAATATATTTAAAAACAAAAATGATTTTTTTTTTCACTCGTTTCACTCATTTACAGCCAACCTAAGCTTGTCCGACACACAATCTTGTGTTTTGCACCTGCAGCAGCTGTGTTTACTATCACCGTCCCAGTCACTGTCCTTTACCCTGCCAAGGAATATGGCTCCATCTGCCTTTGAAAACAGTGGAACATGGATTACAATTGGACTTAACTTCTAAACGCTAATCGTATCCAGGCATGAGGTAACTGATAGTTAAGCACTGCCTCCAAGACATCGATTGGAAGAATTTGGTGTGTCTGTCCGTTTGTGGAGCAATCTACATTTTGTTTTCTGTGCCTCGGTGCGTTCACTTCTTCATATTGATTCGGATACGAGTAAGGATAAGCTAACGGAACAGAGCACATCGTACAGCACACCACCTGAGATGCACAAACAGACTGTCGACGCCTCTCTGGATGGACCGAGGATATTCCTGCACGGGATAGGGGGTGGGTAGGGGAGGGGGTGGTTTCGGCCAACACAAGGAGCTTCAGTGTTGTTGTTTTTTCGTTCTTATGGAATTATCTGCTGCTTTTCGAGAAGGTGGGTGGGAGCAGCGGTCACTATGAGTCTGTATGCTACCTTTGGATTGGGACATAATATTTGTGTGAATTAACAACCAAATGTGGTAAGAAAGAAAAATTAACAATGAATCTTTAGTGAAGCTGTTTCTTTGTTTCCAATCTTTTTTTCTTTTCTTTTTTCTTTTTTTTTCTGACCCCCCAATTCTCACAATTGTGCATGTTGATGGTATTGTTGTTCAGAATCAAGCCATGATAGTTAATGATTAACAGAAACGCCCCACAAAGAGAAAATTATAAATTACATGCATTTGCTGATTTCAACCCAAATCCTGGTATAAAAACACAAGTGGTCTGCTGAGTTTTATAGATCAGTCTTAGTAGACCTGTGCTCAATGACGACATTATGTTGAATTGACTTTTGTATGTGCTGCTGTTCCTCATGAAGCATTTATTTAAGACCGCCAACTGTAGTTTGGTTTTAAGACCTGTTTTTAATGCATGTTGCATTTGTCCTTCTTCCAAAATTGTGTCTACCATGCCAGACATAACTCAAGGCCAAAATGAAATTAAACATATCTCCTGGTAAAAGAAAGCAAAGTAAAGGTTAGCCTGTGGCAGAATGAGCTGTAAGGGCAGGCAGATAAGACTTTCACTTGATCTTATAAAACCTTTCCCTGGCCAAAGCACAGACCTCATCAGTGAACTGAAGTCTGGATGGCATGTCTTTCAAACACTATACATGCCAAAACACCACCAGCAACATGTAATCATGCAGCAGAAGTAATGGAACAATATTACTATATGGGAAAGACGGGATAGAATTAGATCTTAAAACTATACTATTTCTTTATCAGACAAATTACATTTTTATGACATCTTTTATAATGGAAAATGTCAAGTTGTAACTTTTAATAGTTTATTACAATTCTAGGATTAGATATGAGTTGATAGTCAGATCAAATTCACAAGTTCCCTAGAAGTCACAAGTTTTTTTTTCTGTTTTTTTTTTTAAACAATTAAAATAGTGTTTTTTAGTTTGAACATTCATGATTGGTGTTTTTTTATTTTTTATGTATACATGTCTTTTTATCCGTCTCTTTTTATAGGCATAGCATAGGTAACCAGAAACTTCACACATGCAACAAAGTTATCTTCACACATTGCTAAGTGATCTATAAAACTGCAGACTAATTCATTTTCAGGGCATAGCAGCAGATATATAAACTGTCCTCCATCTGTTACAGCTTTTAATGTTCATTTTCAGTTGAAATGGTGTGGGAAAGGTTTCATTTGAGCTGGACCATGTTTTGTACACTAGTGCTAAAGTATATTAAATTATGTTTTTGCACAGTAATTACAATGTATGGTACGTTATGCTGTCATTATTCCAGAATGCCAGGTATGTGATTGATTGATGAATTCATTTCTGAAGACAGTATATTGCAAGACATGTTTTGACAGTATATGCAAACTGCAACACGATTGCAGACCGATGTAACACGAGCACAACCGAAACTTCATGGTTCTGTATTACAGCCCCTTGACGTACTTTAATGTGCAATTTCAAAATCAAGAAATTAAATTTCAGTTAATTCTTGTATGAGAGAAACTGCATTATTGCCCTCCTAATTGAAATAGCTTTCTTTTCATTTAGTTATTTTTTATTTTTTCAATAAAGATGAATCTTCAGTGTTGAATAATTTTAAAACGAGTGCTTTTTTTTTTTTACTAAATCATAAATTATTATTATTAATATAAATCAGGGATGTGATTCTTCCGGATTAATCCGGAATTCCGGTTATTTCAGCCTAAAATCATGACCCACGTGAATCATGCAGATCAGTAATAAAAATAAAATCGGGGGTGGTGGGGGGTGTTTGGAAGTTTTGGGAAAGTCATTGTAATTTGTTTCAAAATATTTATATAATAGAATATGTTTAAGTGATAATATTAGTTAAACAAACTACAATACTTAACGTTCATTCTATCCATCCGACTACGGCATTTCCATCAGATTTCGTTTTGCAGCGTTGAGCATTTTAACCAATTGCACACGTTTCCGTTGAGTTTGTGATGACCAATCAGAGGCGTTCAGATTAGTCATCGCTGAAACGAATAGTTTTGTGGTGCGTTCAAGTCATCTCGTATAGATCGTATTTACGAGTTGAACGCACTTGAACGCCACCACAATGTCGTAAATACCCGTGGGGAGCTCGGGATTTTCTCTAAGCCCCGATCTTTCCGAGTTGTAGGCGTGTCACTGAGAAGCATGGCGGAATACCACGATACTTAAATATTATGCAGTGATATTGTCAAGGTTTTCTATTTACAGTGCAGTTAAGCTAATTGCTTGCACAGAATATGATGGCATTATAATATAACAATGCAACATGTAACGATAAAGTTGGCAGTGGCTTCATAAATTAATTAAAAACATTAAAAAACAAAGTACATCTGATGCACATTTCTTTGTTCTTCATTTTCTAGAACAAGAGTTTAAGAACCTTACTGTATTTTTGTGTAATTAATTAAGAGAAAGTACTCCGCCATCTTACTCCGACGAAAGTGACTTGAACGCGCCTGCCGTCGTAAACACGACTTCCCACCTCGTATGTACGAACTTCCCAGGAGGACTTGAACGCACCATTGTTCAGTGCGCTGACTGAATTCTCCTGACTTCCATCATAAACAACAAAGTGCAAATTTGATGTAAGAGATTCATGTCGCACGTTTCTGTGATTTTTAACGGGAGTTTTGTGCGTGCTTAAACTCGTGCTAGACCCAAGTTATGGACAGCCAGAGAATGTCTAATTGAAGAGAATTGGCACTGTCTGGTTACTTCCGGTTACTGGACAGGCTGCAGTAACACGTCTCTTTCCATGCGGGGGCGCTCGCAGGCGAGTGCAGAATGAATGGGAGTCTATGGGGTTTCACCCCCAGAAATCCACTTTTCTCAAGATGTAATTTTTTGTCAAGTAATTTGAAAGTTGCATTCAAAAGGGAGGGCTAAGATAATACACTCAGCTGAAAATTGCATTTTTAAGATCACTTATCTGTTCTAAAAATCCATTCAAAAATGTGATGACATCACATAATAGCAGAATGCTAGCGTGTTCCGGCCAACAACGGCCTAACCTGTAAGAAATCGAAAGGACATAAGTACTCGTTCATTCGACTTTTGGCCTATAATCTATATTGAACTTGCGGAATCAACAATAAAATATATGTTGATTCAACGACAAGCAGGAGAAAGAGATACATTTAGCCGTCTAGCCCCATAGACTCCCATTCATTCTGCACTCGCCCGCGATCACCTCCAGTGGAATTCTAATGGAACTGCAACCAAGATGATACACAATGGGGCTAATAGGAAGTGCCAAGGCTCTCCGTTAGACGGGCTCTGGGACAGCCTCACGATCATTCCTGGCACTGCGTATCTAGGCCTATTGAGAATGTGACGTCACGCGTTTCACTCCGAGTTGCATTGTGAGAAGGCGTCGCCATCTTGGAAGGATATGCTATCCGTTGTCATGGTTACTTCGACAATGAGACCGGGAGAAATACAGACAGTGAGAGAGAGCAGCTTGATATTTGTTTGCATTTTTGCGATAAGGCACAGTTTCTTGGGAATAAATGAAGAAGGGGGAAGCAAAAGGAAAGGAGCTCTATCGGGAGAGACTAAATAACACCAAGCAGCGTTATTTAGAGAAACTACTTGACATCAACAACATGGACCCGTACGACCTGCTACAGAATGGACGAAAGACCGAAAGCACTACCACCTTTCACATACTCTGACATAGTCAATTACCTGGTTTATTGTATCAGTGCCTAACGTTACTGCCTACACAATACAAGAGTTCAGAAGCTTTAAGTCATTAGAAGCTTATGAACAATTCTGCTGCGGCTGGGTGCAAGACCTAGAAACCCCCAAGCCTGTAACGTTAAACTGTGAGAGTTCAGTCATACTTGATGTTTCAGGCCTCATTCATATGTGGAAATAAATATGATGTAAATCAGATACGTGCATTTGCACCTGCCATGCAACGTTAAGCGAACAGATCGGACATTCCCCTGTCAATGCGAGTCGTACGTCATTAAAAAAAGTGTCTTTTTAAAACATTTCGCGGTACAGATATATCTATAACAAATTAAACAATTCTAGTTGAATAACAGAGTATTCATTTTGTTCGTTTGTGTTAAATAAAAGGTGAAATGTGTTGCTTTTGAAATCAGGCTTTACTCGCTGTTGCTACTGTCAGTTTATTGGCAAGCAGTTTCTCTAAGCTGGCTAGCATTGTTATTTAGTCTCTCCCGATAGAACCCCTTTCATTTCTCTTCCTTCTCCATATCTTCCAAAGAAACTGTGGCATATCGCTAAAATGTAAACAAATACTAAGCTGCGCTCTCTCTCTTTCGCTATTTCTGGAATATTTAGTCGCACCTCTGTGAAGTTCTGAAGGCGTTGCCCCTGGCATGGCAACTGATAGCATCTCCTACCATCATAGCCAACTGGCTCAGACCCCGCCCAAATCGGCACGTGACTCCTCACTCTCAATAGCACGAGTGCTTTTATTAGCCTTGCTCTTTATACGCAAAAGTAATACGTGCATCTGGTAGGCAAAATGAAGTGCGTATCATATGTAGCCTACGGCGCTAAATTGCTTATTGGATGCACGTCAAAGGTCATTTGTACGTAAAAGGTCATTTATGCGTATAAAGAGCACGCAAAGCTCAATCGATCACATTCTCTGCTCCCTTTCTGTGTACAGTTTATTCCAGTTAATATAATTTATTCATCATGCTGATAAGATTATGTAGTCTTCATTTTCTAATGCGTAAAAAGCATTAATATAATTCATAAATGGTTCTTAGGTTGTTTTATCTGTGTAGCCAGAATATGATGTGCAGTTTACCAAAACACAAAAAACATTTTATGTTGCCTATTCCTATTGTAGAAGTTTGAGTGGAATTTTATTTACTGAATGAGATTGATCGGTATTGGAAACACAGTTGTTTTCTTTACAGAACTGCAGAACAGTTATCGCCCTTACATTTTCCCCAAAGATAAGTTAAGACGTCCTGTTTTGCATTACTAGAAATAAATTATAGCTGTTAAATATATTTCCATGTGTGTCACTCATCACAGTTCCTGGTAGTTCATGCAGTAAATGGCTGATTCAGGTGTTTAAAAATTGCTTTACGCTGGGTCTTAAAAAAAATGTCCTGCTTTTTTTCATTCGCACAATCACATCCCTGATAAATCCAAAAACATCAGATTACATATACCTATGTTTTCTAGGATTATTTATACAGTAGTAATATATATTCATTTATATTTTATCTATTATATTTATATTTATTTACAGTTTTTTTTTGTATTTCAACTTTTTTTATTTCAATTAGTTGCTCAAGGCAACATTTATCATTTTTAGATGTTTAAAGCTTTTCATCTAATATTTCAATATTGAAATTATATTCTATTGTTTCAGCTTTATTTCATGAATTAATTAATGAAAATGTTCTATCCTGCCATCTCCACACATTAAGGATGAGCTCTTCAGTAAAAAACAAAACAAGGGACAGTAGATAGAAAGGCAAGTCCACAGTGGGGATTTTTGTGGGGGGTTCTCCATCTTACTGAAAATAGTAACTAATGACACAGTCTACAGAAAGAGGTTTTGTTAGTGAAAGGTTTGTTAGAGACAGTCCACACAGCCAGATGATCAGTCCAGTAAATGTCTTCCACTGGCTGTGCAGTGTGGAAGAGCAGGATTCCTTTTCAACAGCCTTAAACAGTCCATGAAGTGTTGGATAATACCAGACCTTTGGTCTATTGAGAGGGTCCATGCTGCTGTCTGAAGGAGTTGTGAGAGTCAGTCACAATCGATGCAAAGAGTGATTGCAGTCTGAAACATGTAACTGCCGTGAAGGTCAAGCAGTGACTACCATCAAAGAAAATCCTTAGTGTAGCAGCTGAAGAAACCAAA